AAAACATATAGCATAACATTATAAACACACGAAAAAATGACAAGATATAGTCGAGATCCTCCCGACAAGAACAAACACACAATGCGTTACACAATCTCCCCGGATATGTAACCCTGTTACCCGATTATAAGAAAAGGATGTGTGATAAGGAATAGCTGCAGATCGACCCAGCGAGCTGCGGCCAGCTGAGAAAGAGCAGCATAATACCTGCTTGACTTGATCCGGACATTCAAGAAGATACACGGTCGCAGAAGTCCTGATGATGACGGCCAGCACCATTATTCCTTTTGTGGATTAGTTCCTGCGCTATGTGCTAATCTCTCTTCATCGTACAAAACATACAAAACGCCTTAGTTCATTGTGAATTGTCCTACGTACTGCTGTTGTGGTGCAAACGGTTGCATGCCTTGTGAATATGCTGGATAGGGACCGGTCGGTGCCATAGGCTCCATCATTGAGCCGGGGGCCATGGGACCTCCTCTCATTCCCATCATTCGTTGGCCGCCCATAAATGCCGGATTCGACGGATCCATGCCACTTGCGAATCTGTAAGAACATTTTTTGAAACAAACTTCTTCTCATCAAAAATAAATATGTAGTAAGGACCACGTATTACGAAAAACTACTCATGGCAGAATTTTAACTCTCTTAAATATCCAAAAACGATGTGATTAGAAAGCAATTCATGCGAGAAAGCGACGATTTTGCTCGCCCTAAAATGCTGATTTTACTTTGATATTTGCAAAATGCGTCATTACTGACGCGAATTATGACATTTCAAGCACATTCTTAATTGAAATTTCCCAATTTGAAAAAAACTTTCCACAAAAAAAAACTTCAGAGAGATAAAACAATTTCGAAGGGAAATTTAGAAACCTTGTATGAAAACTTTATGAAAATAAAGGGAAAAACCAAAAACAATTCGAAAGAGAAAATTTTTCTAAAAGAAACATACCGTGACTGTTGCATCTTTTGCATATGCATGAAATATTGCTGTTGCGACATCGCTCCGTTCGGATAACCTTGGTACATAAGAGCTGCTGAAAACCCAATTATTCATATACATGATAATATACGAATAAAAATAAATTCACAAAATTATGGAAAATATACAGGGTGTCCCAAAAAATGTATCGAACGTTTG